TCTTTAGAACCTTCAGCGTCTGTCTTCAGGATCTCCTTCTTTAGAGCCTTTGAGGTTTCCGTCTTTAGAACCTTCAGGGTCTCTGTCTTCAGAGTCTAGCTCTTCAAGCGTCCAAGGCTGCTCAGACAGTGATTTCTCAGTTGGTTATGGATGACTCTCTGTCTACACTTGTCTGGATGCACCACAGGCCATTTATCTTGAAGTCCTGTCCTCCGCATAGACGTGCTAATGCCAGTTCATTGAATTTTATTTTTCTAGTGGTTAACTACCGTTTTCCCAGGTTGGATTACCTGTGGATTTTTATTTTTTTAATTTGGTTTTCCCTCTGTCCTGATTCTCCCATCCTTCCTCATGAGTTAGTGTTATTTTATTTATGGGTCATCTGGTGACGACCCTTAGAGAGGGGGTACTGTCAGAATCCATTTATCTGTTAGTTACTAGTAGTCTTTTATGTTACGGTATGAAGATTTTAATGTGATTCTTGCGTTTTATTTGTGTTCCTAGTATTTATCAGTTTCCCTAGAGGTTTATTTATTTATTTTTTGTGATCACCTCTCCTTAGTTCTGCTCTGGCCCCGCCCTCTCTCACCTGTTCCTGTTGTCGTCTTGTCAGGTGTTTGGGATTCTGTTCAGTAGTGTTCCCTTTTTATTCTTTGTGGCTCGGTCCGTTCCTCAGTTGAGCAAAAAGCATTGTTTAGATGCAGCCTGGTCCTCCTTGTGGCCTTTGTGTTGAGAGAGCTCCGGTTCACTTTTGAAGATCTTCGCGTGTCTGTATTCTGGGTCCAAACCATCTTCATACTGGGACATTTTCTCCAACATGGTAAGCATAGGTAAACGTATGGATTCCTAAGGTCTTGGTTGGGGTTTTAGTGCAATGTGATGAATATATATGCACGCAACAGTTCTTCAGTTTTATAATCTTTAGATTTATTTCTCAGAGTTTTCCCAGAAAACTGTTTTTAATTATTCAACTTAGACGTAATAATTTTTAGGCATAAAAATAACTTTCCAGGATGGCCAGGTCTTGTAGACGAAGGCGGTTTTAGGTACTACTTTAGCTAACAATTCAAGAAAAACCAAACAGTCTATGAACAAATTTAAAGAAGGACAGTCAAAGTTTCTACAGAAAACTGTACAGTGGGTTGAAAGCTGAACATTTTAAATGACTCTTCAGGAGGAAATGCAGGAAAGGGTTGCTCTAAAGATAAAAGTAAATAAAATTCAGAAACGCTGCAGACTTCCTCATCCTGAGCGCATTAAAAGAGAGAAAAGTGATAAATCAAACCCTGACAGTCAACCTGCGGACGTCCAGGTTAAATGCTTCTGCTTTTTGTCTAGCAGCTTGTTTAAA